AGCCCAAAGCCCGGGTGTGCGGACAGCAGGCCCTCTGCGTCTCTTCCCTCCCTCCCACCCTCCACCTGCCACTGCCCGAGACCCTCTGGGGAAGCATGATCTCTGGGGATATTTGTTTTTTTGTTGTTCTTTTTAAAATTTTTAAATCCTCTTTATTTTAGTTGCAAAGTTACAGTTTACTTTGTTACTTAACATTTTATCTGTTCCTGTTTGGGGTCTCATGCGCTCGCCATGTAAAACTTCACATTCACCACCAAATCGCATTATGAGAAGGTTCGAAAGTGTACTTGACCCAATTAGTCCTCTCCACGCTGTGCAGCTGGTGCGTTCCAACTACATCAACTGAAAAAGGCAGGTTGGTTAATTGGCAGAACATCCGATTCCTTTCCTCATGAGAGTGGTACAAAATGGCACACAAACATTGAATTTTTTAAGTTTATCTTTTATTGTGGTGAAATGTACCTAACATAAAATTAACAGTTTTGACCATTTCTAACTGTCGGGTTCAGTGCCATTAAGCATATTCACATTGCTGGGCATCCACCCCTCCATCCTCTCCAGAACTGTTTCGTCTTCCCAAACTGGAACTCCGTCCCCATTAGACACGAATTCCCCACTCCTCACCCCCGGCCCCTGGCGACCACATTCTACTTTCTATCTCTGTAAATCCGACTCCTCTAGGGGCCTCATAAGTAGAATCACACAGGATTTGTCCTTTTGTGACAATAAAATCTTACACAAAGTGTTTAATGTTAGGTGCTCAGCTCTCAAAAACAGTCATGGGGGAGTTAAAACTGGTTTTACCCCGAGCATGTGTTATAGTCATTACACCCAGGACATGACCCGGACTGTCCCACTCAACATGGTTTTAGTAGAGGAGCAAATTGGGTCTTTTGAATGCGAACACAGTAGGTAATGATTTTTCATATTCTACCTTCAGGTTACAGCAAACCTTTATAGGGACTACACTTGCCCCAATAAACATCAGGGACAAAGCAGGGACTCCAGCCAGGCCCCGTCCACTCTTTCCCTGGGCCACCACACCTCCCTTTCTGACCATTTGATTTTCATCACCAGAGCTTGTTTATCACAAAGGGGACACGTAGGGAAACAGTGAGGACGGCTCTTTACATCTCTTTCTAATTGGAATGTATCTTGGAAGAGATGTGTCCCCGGTGAGAGTGGCATTGGCCTCTGTGCTTGGGACTGCCTTGTCCTGCCCTGTCCAAAGGGTGGCTTTATTTGTTTCAGAACAAATTAATAGGAGACCTTTTCTTGGACTGGATGCACAAGTCTTTTAAAGACCAGCTCGCTGCAGATGGCTCCTCTGCTGTCATCTTGACCATGACAGCAGAGAGGCAGATGGCTCTTCAGCAGCCCTGCCCTTGGCCACTGCCCACTCCCACCAAGTGTTGTCCCTCAGGTCATTCCCTCCCCCTGCAAGCAAACTCTACATTTTAAGGACGGTCCTGTTGCTCTGTGCTGTTTAACTAATGCTGAGCCTTGCTGATAGTGCCGGGTGTGGGTGGGTGCTGTGGGGTACTGAGAGTACCATCCCAGGCCTAAAGGAGCTTTTAATTCAAGGGGAGGCAGACTAGAGCAGCTTTGGAGGCTGCCAGAATCAAACCTGATGCCAGGCCTTGTCCCTCACTGGCCCCTCTAGCTGTGTGACTTCCAGCTAGTCACTTAACCTCTCTGAGACAGAGTTTTCTTATCTGCAGAATGGGGAACATAATGAACTGGCTTCACTGGGTTCTTGTGGGAATTAAGTAAGATTCACGAGTGCTGTGTTGTGCCTGGCACAGAGAGAGCGCTCAGTAAGGATGCAGTGCCAGTGGAGATGGCAGAGATGGGCGGGACACACGATGTTAAGGGACATCCCAACTGAACTGGGTAATGTGTGGATGTGGGGAGGTGACAGGGTGGGACAGAGGACCAGTGCCTAGGCTGACGAGTGAGGGATGAGAGGTAGGCAGGAGAGCATCAGGGGCTTTGAGTGACCACTGCACAGAGCAGGCCACCCCCTGGTTTTGGGGGGTGAGGCATGGCCTGGGTGGGAACGCAGACACCTTAGCATCTATGTTCACTTCACTGTTTGTTGACTTGACCCTGTTCAGCTCCTTTTGTTCATAATTTTGTGTGGAGTCCAGGCTTTATACCTACAGCCCTGATGTGACAGTCTGGTGGCAGGGCACCAAGGCACACAGTTTAAAATGCAGCAGCGAAGGGGGATAGAATTAGGAGGTAGAAACCCCCCTGACTGCCTTGTGCCCACTTTCTGTTCATTTCTTGCGAGCCCTGAGACATGGTGGGCTGAGCCCCAGTTCCCCCATCAGGGACCCGACACACAGGCAGCTTCCGGAGTTGGCCCAGAGCAGTGGGCTGCCATGTGGGACAGGGGTTCAGACCCGAGTGTGCCCAGTGCTGAAACCTCCCTCCACGTCCTGCTCTGTAGTGTCCCCCAGGGCAGCCGCAAGCATTCAGAGGGATGTGATGGACATGGGCTGGCACACTGCTCGAGTGCCCTCTGACTCTAGGCTGGAGCTTGCAGCTCGTCCCCAGGCCGATAGCCCAGCCTTGACCAGGAGCCCAGAAGCTTTGGCCAGTTAGCCCCATTCTAGCAGGCCACCTGTGGGCCACAGGGCCAGGGTCTGAACCCCCTGGTCATCCCGCTCCAGCTGGTGACCCTGTGTGAGCGGGGACGCCTCTTGGGACAGCAGCGCACAGCTTGAGTCAGGAGTCTTGAGAAGGTCTGCCCTTTGACCCCGCTCCTCTCCTTCAGGGGCTTTGGCCTAAGCGGTAATCGAACAAAGATTTAGAAATAAAGATTTACAAGATGTTCAACCCAGAGCTGTTTTTTCCCGATAGTGAAATGCCAGAACCGACATGGATGTGAAGAGAGGGGGGACTGGGTTGGGAAAGATGCCGCCTCTGCTCATAGGGTGGTGCCCCGTGTCTGGCAAGGTGGCATCAAAAACGTGAGGGCTTGAGGGGTGGGAGGTGGTGAGGGAAGGGGCCCTCTCTGCGGGGCCCATCGCGGGTCTGGCCTGTTTATTACGATGATGCCCTGCTGGGCCTGCTCCACACGCCTCGGCCTTGTCACTGTCCAGCCTGGCCCTGGTCCCCGGTGGGCTCTCCATGGCCTCTGACAGATGGGGGCCTGCAGACGGGGTGCCTCATGCCCCAGGAGGGTGTGCTCACCCCGAGATCTGTGAGGCTCCCAGCTGGCTGAGGGCTGATCCCAGCCGGACACGGCCTCCTGACAGCTCCGCTTTGCACACGTTCCAGGTCTGTGGCTGCTTGGAGCATTCCAGGGACATTTCGCGTCTGCGGACTGAGCAGAGGACAACATTTGATTGTCCTGCTGAGAATAAGATTCCCCAGCGAGAATCATTTCCAAATGTTTCAATAGCTCAGGGCACCAAGTTCTCACCCGTGGGGGGCGGCTGGATGTCCCCTGTGCTTGCCTTTCTCTGAGGGGGTCTGAGGGAGTTGGGGGCCGCTGCTCATCCCTGGGGTATTCTGCACACCGAGATGGGGTGCCAGCCTTGTGCTGAGGAGTATAAGGAGAGACAGGCCCAGCTCTCAAGATGTTTGTGGTTGGGGATTGGGGGGGGCAAGGCCAATGGAGTTGTGGGGTATGGTGGGCCGGGCCCCATGCACAGGGCGTGATGTGGGTGCGGAGGGCCACCCGGGCCAGGCTGGTGGGTACTAGGTGGCAGGAGGTGGCGGGCCAGGACCGCAGAGAGGCTGGAGAAGCCAGGAGGGGTGGGCCCGCGGGCAGCTGAGCTGGAGCGGCATCAGTAAGAGCGTGGGGTTTCGGGAAGTCCAGTTTTGCTGCGTCCTGCGCTGCGGTGGCTGGAGGTGCTCTTTGTCCCAGTCACGTGAGTCCCTCTTGCTGTGGGCATCTTGGGCCCGGGCTGCACCTTCTGGGGGCACGGTGGGGTCCTCTCCTTCCCCTGAGCCAGGGCCCACTGGGGCAGCAGTGTGGGGGAGGATGAGAGCCCAGCAGGAGCCTGGAAGGCCCTGGGCTCCCAGCTCAGCTGGGCTGCCCCCAGCTGCCCAACCACGTGAGCCTTCCATCTTCCTGACCGCTTTGTAAGCCGGGACGCGGTCTGGTGGCAGATCAAGGGCAGAAACCCCCAGAGGCTGTTGTCCTCTGTGGTGAGGCCTGACACCTCCCCGACAGGCTGCCCGGAAGATGAAGGGAGAGCGCAGATGTGAATCCCAGAAGCTGGGCCGGAAATGCCGGCTCTTCCCTTCGCGCCCGGGTGGCTTGTTGCCTGCAAGGCCCCCATTTCCGTTCTCCCCTCCGTGCTCCGCGTGTGTGCCTCACTCGCCAGGCTGGGTCCCCGCCCTCCGGAGCAGCTTCCTCGGCTGTCCAGTGTTTGGTCCTGTCCTCCTCGGAACCTCCAGACTGCCCCACTATCTATACACTGTCTGTCTCTGGCAGCACAGGCCATCGCTGACCCTGTGAGTCAGGTTGGTCAGGTCCTGGATGCCATGACTGCTGGGCTGGGTGGCAGCTCAGTCACCCCTTTGTCAGAAGCACCTGCCTGTCTTTCTTGCCTTCTGGACTGTGAAGGCAGGGTCCCCGTCTGGGCAGGCACCCGTCTGGGCAGGGACCCGTCTGGGCAGGGTCTCTGAGTTCCTGGTGTGTGGCCAGAGCAGGGATGCAGCCGGGGTGAGCACGGATCCAGGGCTGAGCCGTAGCCGGTCAGAGTTGGATCCTGAAGGTGGTGGTTGAGGTTTTGGGCCTTTCTAGGAAGGAGCAGGGTGTGTGCAAACCCTGTGCGTCTTCAGTGTGTTTGTCAAGTGACTAAGGAACAGCGGTGCCGTTCCAGGACTGATGCTGTAGAGGGATCTGAGGAAGTGGGTGCTCAGGTGGTGCAGCCAGGAGGGGGTGTGCTTGGCCCCCTAAGGGGGACTGCATGTCACCAGACCTGTGGGGGAGGAGGGTGGGTCACCCACTGCCAGTCACCACTCTCTCCCCTGTACAGTGGGTGCAGACATCCCCCTGGAGGCTTGCTGTGCAGATGGACATCGGATGGCCACTCAGCACAGGGACTGCTCACTGCCCTATGCCTCAGACTCTAAGGAGTGCAGGTACGTTCACCAGGGGCCACTGTCTTCCCAGGACTTGTTCTCTTAGAGCAGAGTGGGGGAAGAAGGGACAGTGTGTGCTAGAACCCCAGGAGAAGCTGGGTGCCCAGGGTCGCATCTGCCCAGGCTGTGGACGACCCCTGCCCCTGTTGTGCTCCCACAATCCCTGGGCAGGACATGGCTCACCCTTTCTGGGCTGCCCTGCGTTGGTGGGAGCATCTGTCCCCTTCACTGGGCTGCAAGAAAGTCGGGCTTTGCAGCCCTCTTGGTCACCACTGGGCCCCATGGCCACGGCAGTTTCCTTCTAATGTACAGGGAGCTGTGGGGGAGAGGGGTGAGATCACATGACTAGTTGTGCTTTGCAAATAAAAGTGTGGGCTACCTTCAGACCCTGAAACTCAGAGGAGCCCTTCCAGAGCAGGGCGGTCCCCCAGACAGTTGTTTACCTTACGCAGTAACCAACATACTGACCACCTGTTGGTTCATCTCTCCCTGAACTGACCCAGGGTCCCTCAAAGTTTTAGAAGAACATAAGCTTAGAATAAATGACTGATCATTTATGTAATACTGATCATCACCATAAAAAAAACAGGAAAAATAACCGCAAAGCTTCATGAAGCACCTACTTTGTGCTGCACATTCAATGCACATTATATCATTTAACTGTTGTTAATTCCATTTTACAGACCTGGAAACTGAGCTTCCCCCAGTACACACACCTGGCAGGTGATGGCATTAGGATTTAGACCCAGATCTGCTAGTCTAGGGGGCAGATGTCAGGGAGGCGAGGGTAGAAGGCATTCCACCATTTGACGTGCATTATTTCCTCCTCTAAATCCAAGTCTAAGCTGTGCTGACCCTGAGCTGCGGGGCGCTGGGTGGAGAGCTCCACAGGAGTGTGCAAGGAAGGCTTATTTGCCTCCTTGTGCTGGCATCCATCACAGCGTGCTGCCCGCTAGCCATGATGAGGGATGTAAATCTCAACTGAGGAAATTCTTGAAAAGTCAAAAGCCCTGTAGGCCTAAGAGGAAGAGAAAACAGGATGCTCGGATTGTTTGAGACGACTTGGACACCTTGCTGTGGGATGTGCAGCATCTGAGGACTGAGAGCTGGGGTTCTGGCTCCCAAGAGTGTCTTAGTGCTAGACATGCCAGAGGGGTCGGATGGAGCTGGGTGGTCCGCGCCAAGCATGCTATTTACTGACCTTGCCGACGAGAGGCTGCTGCTCCTGGAAAGGTGGACCCACCTGGGCTAGGATTCTGGCTGTGTGACCTGAGCCAGCTCGGAGCCTCGGTTTCCCCAAGGGCAAAATGGGACCATGATACCTGCCTTTCGGGGCTGTGATGGTGACAGAGGTGAGGAAGAAGCCAGCACCACATAGCCAGATAGTGAGAGTGGTCGGTAGAAGTAGCCTGCTCGGTCCACCCTGACAGTGCCACCCCTGGGGGCTTTAAATGCAGACATTCGTGTCCTTGAAGTTCTGCATGGGAGAAATGTGAGCTCAGTGTGTTGGTAACTTGTGTTCTTCGGGGGCCTTGCTCCTTGGCATGTAGGTGGCCGTCTTCTCTGTGTGTCCTCCACAGGCTTCCCTCTGGGTCCTCATCTCTCCTTAGAGAGACACTGATCAGATTGGATTGGGGACCACCCTAATGACCATTTAACCTTAATTACCTATTTAAAGACCCCATTTCCAAATGCAGTCACAGCTGAGGTCCTACGGGTTAGGACTTCCACTCAGAATTTGGGAGGACACAGTTCAGCTCCTAACGGGGAGCCACTGTTTTGGTAATACCGAAATCAAAGATTTTCCAAGTGAGGCGTCAGCCAGCTGAACCCCCCAATCAATATACAGATGGAGGAACTGAGGTCAGAGAGACTCAGTGGCTTCTCGTCTCTGCTTGTGAATTTGGATTTTAGTCACTAAATCTGTTCCTGATTTCTACGCACTAGCGTCTTTGGGAGTATCTTTAATCTCCAACGGGCCCCAGACTACATGGAAAGTACAGTTGACCCTTGAACAACACCGGTTTAAACTGCATGGATCCACTTCTATGTGGATTTTTTCAATAAATATATTTGAAAAATTTTCGGTGATGATTTGAAGAAAACATTGTATCTTCTCTAACTTTATTGTAAGAATACAGTATATAATACATATATCAACTAGTTGCATTACTGGTAAGGCTTCTGGTCAACAGTAGGCTATTTGTAGTGAAGTTTTTGGGGAATCAAAGTTATACAGGTTTTTGGCTGTGCCAGGGGTTGGTGCCCCCAGCCCCCATGCTGTTCAAGGGTCAACAGTACCTTTTCAGCTATGCAGCAAACATTTGTTTTATAATCTACATTTTGGTCAGTGGTAAATAGCAAACGTGGGTTAGGAACAGATTTCCTGAAATGCAGTATCATCTGAATGGCCAAGAGGGTATTCCTTCTCTCCCTGTGGGAAATGTGGGTGCTAGTCCAGGCTTCTCTTTGACCCCGTGCTTGTTTCTTGTGGAGCTCACTTCAACACATGGGGCCTGTCAAACTCTGGCCAGATAGGGTGAGTTAGCATATTGCACGGAACTCCCTCAGCACCACTCACAGGCCACTGATTGGGGGTGGCCAGCCTTTGTTTCACTGAGGCCCAGGAAGCCCGTCGGCCCACCCCAGGGAGCTCATGGGCAGGAGCTGCAGTGTGTCCGAGGCCTCTTAGCTCATTAGCCGCTGAGCTGACTGGCTCTAACGGTGTCACTGCCTGCGCGCCTCGGAGCTCTGCTGCCCCTCCATTCCTCCCCTATACCCCTTCCCCTTTCCTCTGTTGATGTCAGGGTCCCAACCCCACATACTCTGCAGAGATCAGAGACCAGGCCTGGGGAGATGTTGCTCATCTAAACGCACCTGGGTTTGAATTCATGCAGCAGGCATTGGGTGCTGCCGCGGGGGGATGCTCAGGAGAACGAGCCCCGCTCTCAGCCCTCCGTGCTTGCCTGGTCCAGCGGCTGAGGACGGCAAACAGCAAAGGACTCCGAGCCCCAAGTCAAGCTGCCGTGTTGGGACACAGACAGGCTGCATGGGCTGGTGTGACCAGTCGCGCGGGGACGCCCAGTCCCAGGATTTTCTAATGAATTCAGTGGCATCGTTTTTAATGAAGGCAGGAGAGAGATCAGAAACCAAATTTGATTAAGAAGATCGTCCTACTAGTACTGGATAAAAGATGCAAGGGACAAGGATCACTGACCACTCGGTGACTCCGTTCCAGGGCCACTGTCTTCTTCCCAAGTGGTGTTCTGTCAGGCTCAGTTTTCACCCATTCAGCATGTCTTTATTGATCCTAGATGTTGCTCTAGCTGCGGCCAAGGTGGGCTGGGATGACCTGGGTGGGGAGCCTCCCGGGCAAAGTTGAGGGAGGAAGTCCCTCGGGGCTCTGTGGGGCTGGCTTGGGTGGTGAGGGAGTGATCAGAGAGGGCTTCAGGCGGGGCCGGCACCTCTGCTCACACAGCTTCTAGCCCGGTGCAGTCAGTTTCTGCCTTGAGCACCTGGCGCGTTTGGGGGCATAGGAGGCGGCAGCTCTGATGTTGCCCCACGCTTCTTCGCCGTGCACCTAGCCTCCCGCAAGGGCCAGTGTTCCCTAGGCTCCAAATCTCAATTAGCCTAAGCCTCATGTTTCATTAAGCCCGCGAGTCTCTTGGAAATATGTATACACAGCAGGCCTAAACCTAGGGCAGGGCCCGGGGCAGCTGCCCTTCAGTCCAGTGGACACTCCCACAACTCCTGCCTTCATAGGGACCTGCTAGGCGCCAGGCCCCGATCTGGATGAGATGGGCGTAAACTGGTGAACTAAACAGACAAAATCTCTTCCACAGAGGATACAAATGATAACCAACAAATTAGATGGTTTGTGAGAAGGGCGAGAGACAGGGTCTCCTGGGTGGGGCAGGTTTGCAGGTTTAGGTAGGGCCGTTGGGAATGCCTCCCTGAGAAGACACGTTTGAGCCAAGATCTGAAGGACTCAAGCAAGCTGGGTGATCTCTGGGCCGAGTCCACAGGCGGTAGCAGGGAAGCAGGGATCCGGATGCAGCAGTCCTGATGCCCATCCTGGGCCCTGCCCGCCGCCTGGCTGCCAGGGCGGAGCTCAGTAACTAGGGCCAGTCAGCCCCCTGGGAATGGGAGGCTCTTCCCCACCCGGAGATGCCTCTCTGCGTCTTTGAAGACTCCGTGTGGGCCTGGCCCACAGTAGGGCCAGAGCCAAATTTTTAAAAATTGCAATAAAATACATGTGACATAAATTTTACTATCTTAACCATTTTTAGGTGTGCAGTTCAATACACACATTGGTATACAGCCATCACCACATCCATCTCCAGAACTTTTTCATCTTTCCAGATCGAAACTCCATACCCATTACACCAACCCCCACTTATGCCCACCCCAGCCCCAGGTGACCACCCTTCTGCTTTCTGTCTCTGTGAATTTCACCCCTTCAGGTTCCTTATACGAGTGGGGTCACTGAGATTTGTCCTTTGGTCAGTGGCTCATTGCACTGAGGTGTCCTCAGGGTGCACCCATGTTGTAGCCTGTCAGGATTCCCTTCCTTGTTGAGGCTGAACCATGTTGCCTTGTCTGGACCCCTTTTATTTATCCACTCCTCAGTGGACACTTGGACTGGTCCACCTTTTGGCTCCTGTGAATAGTGCTGCTGTGAACGTGGCTATGCAAGGATCTGTCGGAGTCACTGCTTTCAGTCCTTTGAAGTGGAATGGCTGGATCACATGGACGTTCTGTTTTAATTTTTTGAGGGACCTCCGTGCCATTTTCCGCAGCAGCTGTGCCGTTCTACATTCCGGCCAGCACTGCTTGTGGGTTCCAGCATTTCCACTTCCTCACCAACACTTAACTGTTTTCTGTTCAGCTATTATCTTCGAATAAATGGACAGGTGGCTGCATATCTGGTTGCTCTTCCTGGCAATTTAGTGAAAAGCCTGTTATTTACAAATCCACTGAAAACATGGATGAAAGGGGTACCACTGTGGTATAGGCAGTCCATCCTGGAGCCCGAGGGTAGTTCTGGAATCACAGGTGAAGCTGGGCCCAAAGCCCCACAGGGTGGTGGGGGGGCAGGGCAGGCTGGGGCTGCTGCCCACGGGCAGAGGCAGCCGAGCTAGCAGCACAGGGAGGCCCGGTAGACCTCACCCTCCCTGGACAGCGTGGGTCGGGCAGCTCCTCCCGCCCTTGCTGGCTTTGGCCAGAGCCGGGGTTATTTTGGGTCTGGTGGGAGCCACACCTGTGACTTGCTGGTACTTCCTGCCTGCTCGCCTGCCGGCAGGGCGAGACTTCACCACCCTGAGCTGTGTCGGAGGGGCTGATTCTGGCAGGTGACGGTCTTTCTGCTAAAGGACACACAGTCCTTTATGCACGTGTGTCCTTGGGATACGAGGACCTTCCTCCTGGAGGCTAACAGGGCCAGGAGATGACACCACAGCCTGGCGTCACCTCTGCCATGTCACTCACTTGGTGGCCTTGGGCAGCTGTGCCACCCCTCTGGACGTGTTCCCTCTGAGTCTGGCAAGTGGGGATGAGTGTCAAGAAGAATTCAAGTCGGTGAAGGATGCGGGGCCTGGTCAGGGGCAGCAGTCAGCTGCTTTCGGTTTCTAAGTAGGTGGGAACATATTATGGGTGAGGCTCAGAGAGGCGAGCTGGGGCTCTGGCAGCTGCCACTAGGTCCCGACTCCACCACCACCACCCTGTAGTCAGCCTTTCTAATTAAACACTTATTGAGCACCTTCTGTATGCCAAGTGTTGTGTGGGTGTCTCTGTGTGTCTGTGGGTGAGTGGGGGCGCTTGGGAAGCAGGGGACACGTAGAGACGGCCACACCCACCTCTCCACGGGGCGGCCTGGCGGGCCCCGCCCCTGCCGAGCCCTTGGCCCTGGCCCAGCTGCCCCTTTGCCTGCAGGATGGTTCAGGAGCAGTGCTGCCATAACCAGCTGCAGGAGTTGCACTGCGCCACAGGCATCAACCTGGCTAACGAGCAGGACAGCTGCACCACGCCGCCCGGGGACAACACCAGCCTTGAGGCCACGTTCGTGAAGGTGAGGCCCCATCCCCCACCCAGCTCAGCAGCTGCTGTCCATCAGTGGGAGGCCTGGGGCACTTTTCGCCCTGCACCACCTGCCCCAGGCCACCTGTCCTTTAGAGCAGCAAGCGGTGCCCAGCCTGGGAGGCAGGAGGGACCACTCACATCTGCCTATCTCCTCCAGTTTGGTGAGTTAACCCTGGACCACACCGAGGAGATAGGGATGAAGTGACCCAGTCTTGCCCTGGGGACCTCCAGCAGAGATCAGGGCAGGGGTGACTGGGCTCTGGGCCTTTAGAACCCTCTTCTCAGTTCAAGGTAGGCACTCCCACTCCACCCAAGAAGCCCTTCAGCTTCTTAGTTGGAGCCCAGAGTTTAGAATGGGTTTCTGCTGAGGCCTCTGGTAACACATGACCTCCACGACCCTCCCTAGAAGAGAAAGCTGAGGTTCAGAGAGGCTCACTTCCCATCGTGGCCTCTCAGCAGCCCTGACAGTGGTCCTTTCAGGGTCAGCGGGGAGGGGTCTAGTGAGGAAGAGCTGGGATTGGGTCCATCAGGCTCGGAGGGAGGCCTGCCCCTAAAGTAAGCTGTGAGTAAATGACATAATCCATCCTAGGACCCCCAGGCCCAGGCCGGGTCACTCAGGGCCTCGGGCATGGTGGAAGGTGTCCATCTTTGCGTGGTGTGGACAAGATCCTGAGAGTGTTCCCTAGTCTGAATGCTGCTACAGAGAAACTAGGTTGTCCCTCCCTTACTGCCTGCGAGGGGGAAAACAAGCCCAGCCAGAGGAGCTCAGGTTTGGAAAAGCCAGTCAGCTGAGTTTCCGCTGGAGGCGACTGGTGGCGAAAATTAATTCCCTGGAAGAAACATTTCCCATTCCCACCTAGGAAGTCCATGAAGTAATTTCAAGAAGCAGGAATCAGAATGAAGCCTGGATTCCAGGATGGGGGTTGTGGGTTCCTTCCTGGGGAAGTTCTCTTCACACAGATTGGGCAATGGGGGTCCAGAGCCCCTCTGCCCACCTGAGCCTTTGTGCGCTTTCCTGGAGGGGCCTCCTCATGGAGGGTGCTGGTTGGGGTGAGGGTGGGGTGGTCTGGCCAAGGGGGCCCCGGGAGCCAGGGCCTAGGGCATTCAGGGGCTGCCTCACCAGGCAGGGCTGGGGCTCTGCAGACGCCGTCTGCCTGGCCGACAGCTCAGCCCATGTCCCCAGACTGGGGGGAAGGGAGGTGTGGAAAGGCATGGAACATTCTAACAGGAGTGGGAACAGATCGCTTCAGCAGATGAATGATGTAGGTTTCCAGGAAGGATCACTCATGCCCCGAAAGGTGGAGGGGGTGACGAGCACCCCCCCACACCCCGTCTGGCAGTGGGCCTTCTAGAACGAGCAGATGGGGGGCCCAGCAGCAGAGACTCGAGTGAAGCCACACCTCCCTGGCTCCCGCTATGGACATTTTGGAAAGTTCTGTGCCTTTCTTAGGGTAGTAAAGACTAAAATGGGCTTTTCATGTGTCAGACAGGGTGATGTCCCCAGGATTCAGGTGTGACTTTTGGGAACACAGGTCCAGGTGACAAGCAGTGACTCTGTCCCCCGCTTACTGATTTAACTGTCCTAAGGTTCTTGTGCTTTTTACAAGCATGATGTGATTCCTCTTGTCTGAACCACCCTAACTCAGGAGGAAAGAGACAAGGTGCATATTTATTCTTCCAGTTATGATAAAGCAATCTTAGATCTTACAAAAAGCAATAGACCCATAGCGGGTGAGGGTCCCTCATCGCTGTCTCTTCCTGGAAGTGTATAAGCTGGCAAGGCAGGGCTGGCAGGGGGCAGCCAGGAATTAGAGAGCATGTGCGGGGTGCAAGCCCCTTTAAGCTTCCTTTCAAAACCAGGACCTGGGACTTGACTTGCTTCTCTATTTATCACCAACATTTAGAAGAGATAGCTGAATCAGCATGTGTCATTGCTGTCAGGGTGAGCGGGCATGGGGGGATTGGAGAGGCCCACGGGGCCTGGCTTCTCCATGTTGGGTCTCCGCCTGTGTCTGCAGAGGTGCTGTCACTGCTGCCTGCTGGGGAGGGCGGCCCAGGCGCAGGGCCAGAGCTGCGAGTACAGCCTCATGGTTGGCTACCAGTGTGGGCTGGTCTTCCGAGCGTGCTGTGTCAAGGGCCAGGAGACTACGGACTTTGCCCCTGGGGACACTGGGGACCTTCAGGAAACAGGTAACTCCCTCTCGCTTCCCTCCAGGGCACTGCATTAGTCAGAGTTCTTGAGAGAAATGAACCAATGGAATGTGTGTCTGTGTGTCTGTGTGTGTGGAGAGAGAGAGAGAGAGAGAGAGAGAGAGAGAGAGAGAGATTTGAGGAGTTGGATCACAGAATTGTGGGGCTGGCAAGTCTGAAGTCTGCAGGATGAGCCAGCAGGCCAGAGATGCAGGGAGAACTGATGTTTCAGCTTGAATCCAAAGGCCATCTACTAGCAGAATTCCTTCTCGCTTGGGGAAGGTCAGTCTTTTAAGGTCTTCCCCTGATTAGACAAGGCCCACCCACACTGTGGAGAGCAATCTGCTTTACTCAAAATCTGTTGATTTAAATGTTAATCTCATCTAAAAAATACTGTCACAGCACTATCCAGACTGGTGTTTGGCCAAATATGTGGGCACCGTGGCTTGCTGAAGCTGGCACAGAATGAACCACCACAGGTGGTTTGGGCACATGTTTACCATTTTGCCTTAACTGATTCTAGGTGTCAGAGCCATCTCATATTTGTTGCCTTGTCTGAGAACCACTATTCTGAAGCAAGACTGAGCACTTGGGTTCTGGGATCTGACAAACCAGGGTTCCTGTCCCGGGCCTAATGTGTATTTCAGGCAAACAGATTTGTCCAGGCCTCAGTTCCCTCATCTGTGAAATAGGGATAATTTTGATCCTACTTCATAAGGTTGCTGGCAGGAGTCAATGGAAGAACAAGGATAAAGTATTTGGCACAGAGCCTGGCTCTGTAAACGTTCGTCACCACGGTTCTTCCCTGCCCTCCAACAGCCCTGGGCAGCTGGGTTCCAGGCCTCGCTCTCTTTTCTCAGATGAGGACCTGATGCCCAAGGTTACGGGCTGCCACATGGAGCATGGAGAACGCTGGCCTCCCGACCCCTGGCCAGTGCCCTCTCTCTCCATCTGGAGCCAATGATGGGTAGACAAGAGGCTGGGGGAGGGAGGGTGCCACTTGGTAAAAGCAGGCTATGTTCCTTCAAGTAATAGGTGCTTACTTAGCCAGGGGCAAGTGGCCCTACAAGCAGCCTGAAGAGAGCTCCCAGCTGTGTGTCCCCCGTTCCGGTTTCCCCACCCTCTGTTTTTCCAAGGCCAGATGAATCCCAACGCCTTGGGGCGTATAGTTCTGGAAACTTCCTGATTATCCAATAACTCTTCCAGTGGTCTCCTGTGCCATAGTGGAAACGCTAGATAATCCTGGGAAATCTCAGGCGCCCTCCTGCCCCGAGCTTGCTGTGTGACTTTGGGCCCCTTCCCTTCTCACTCTGAGCTCCTTTCCCACTGTTAAAAATGGGTAAGGGGCGGGAAGGGCTTAGGAAGGGAGGGCTCACAGACCTGTGGTCCCTGTGCTGGGCCACCTATGGCTGTGGCCTTGTGATCCCAGGCAAATGGGTCGAATGGACCGGTCTTTCATTCTTGTTTTTAATTCTCAAGATTATCACTCTGGGTGCCAGGGGGTGATTTCGGATACCTCAGTCATCAAGGGGAATTGGAACCACGCTCTGGCTCCCTCCTTGACTTTTGAAATCAGAAATGATATTCTCGCTTTAAACAAACCCAAACTATTCTTCCTGGTGGAGTGTTTCTTTTGTGCCTCTAGGGAGGATTTTTGTTGATTTATGTCTTGTTTTAATAACCATCTCTGGACTTCCCTGCTGCCCCAGATGTCTTATTTCCTGCTTGTCTTTTATCTGCCTGAGCTCTCACCCCAGACGTTCCTCAGAGTCTCTGAGGACTCCCCACCCTCGCTGCTCACCCAGTCACTGACGAGCCTCCCCCCACCCTCTGTCATTTATTGTGGGTGTACTGGGTGCTACCGCCAGGTCACGCGGAGGGTCCCCGACCCCAGTGCTGGCCCGCGACAGAACAAGTACAGAAACAGAGGAATTTTTTAGAAACTATAAGCATTTGATAGAGCAACTTATGTCTGTTTAATTTAAATTTAAAAATGGAAGTTTGGATATTTATTTTCTTAACTTTGTTTTTCTAGTCATTCTGTTTTCTCTTGTGTTGTCCAGCTGTTGTTCTGAGCCTGGGGAAGGAACTCTGCTCCTTCACCACAGAGCATTTGGGGAGGCCTGTGCTAGGGCCCGTCTTGGTTATTTCCATTCTGCAGATTGGGAGACGGAGGTGGGGAGGCTCAGGTTGGGATTTGTCTCCTACCAGGAATAGTGCTGTTACCGTGCCAGGCTCCTGGGCTTGCACAGGATGCCATGGAAATCTGATGTCTCATATACGGGTGATAAACAGTTCGTCACCAGTCCTCCTGGCCTTTTCACTGTAAGTCCTTTGGAGGATGGGGTCTGGACACCCTGGCCTGTGCCTGGCACGTGGGAGGGACTTGGGACTTTGCCTGGATTGAATGCACCAAGTGAATGAAGAATCCCCCAATTCAGTCACCCAGCAAAGGTGCTCCTAACCTCCTGAACTAGAAGAGAGGGTTCAAACCCTAAAAGTTTTTTGTTCAGTTCCTCCCCAGGTGAAAGTTCTTTCAATTATTTAGGGACCCCTACCATACATAACCCCTAAAAAAGAATGCCCTGTGCATAATTGGGCAGCTGATACTTGAACAATACAGTCGGAACTGTGTGGGTCCACTTATATATGGATTTTTTTCAGCAAATACGTTGGAATAATTTTTGGAGGTTTGTAACAACTTGAAAAAACATTTTCTTTTCTTTAGCTTTATATATTAGAATACAGTATATAATCCATATATAAAATGTGTGTTCATTGACTGTTTGTTATTGGTGAGGCTTCCAGTCAACAGTAGGGTATTAATAGTTAAGTGTTTGGGAAGCCAAAGTTATATGTGGATTTTCTACCACACGGGGTGGGGCTCAGCACCCTTAACCCCCGTGTTGTTCAGGAGTCAACTGTATATATGTGATATTGAAATTACTAATATATTTCTTCCTAGCAGTGGTTATTTTCCAGTGTACATGTCTTCTGTGCTCATTTGAGAGGATACAGAAAGCTGGAGGAAGAGGAAATTGACACGGAGATAAATGCTGTTTCCATTGGGCCATATTTCCTTTCAGTCTTATTCTGTCTGTTTTGGCTTCTCCCGTGTAGACGTGATTGTGCCGTGCAAACCCCTGGGTTTACGCTTTCCCACCCTGCGTCCTGTGATTGCTGTTGACCTGTGGTCCCTGCCCTTCCGTCTCGCGGAAGGGGCCTCACCGTCAGAGGGCTTGGCTCTCCAGTATTTCTCGGAATTCTTCCCGCCTTGGCTGTCTCCATGCAGGTGGAAAGGACTGGTCCGTTTTCTTCTCAGGCCAGAACTTCCAGCGGAATACCACCCTATGAAGTTAGGGTCCCTGCACTCCACCGGCCCCTCTCTGTCCTGTGGCTCTGGTAAATTCTCTGTTACGAGTAGGGGCCTTGCCTGTGCCTCAGCCTCAAGCCTCACAGCAGATGCTCAAACCCCGCTGTTGAATGAACTGGGAGTGAGAATATAACTGGTCCTACGTAGAGCTTTGCAGGAGGCAACCTGTATAAAATAATTCATTTCCTGGGGCTGCCGGAACAAAGAACCACTGGCAGGGTTGGGAGGAGGGGGCGCTTGAACAAGGAAAAGTATTCACCACGTGGAGGCCGGAAGTCCCTACTAGGGTGTAGGCAGGGCTAGCTCCTGAGGCTGTGAGGGGGCACCTGCTCAGGCCTCCCCCAGCTGCTGGTGGCCCGGGTGTCCCCTGCCTGTGGATGGCCTTCTCTCTGATTCCTTCCATCACTTTTCCTTTGTGCGGGTCCGTCTCTGCGTCCAGTTTTCCTTTTATAAGGACACAGTCATGTTGGATTAGCACCCACCCTAATGACCTCAGTTTACCTCGATCATCTGCAGATGCTTCTCCAAAAGGAGGTCACATTCCCAGGTGCTGGGGGTCAGGACTGCAATGTCTTAGGGGGATGCATCTCAACGAATGAGAATAGCTTTTCCCCGGTGCATTACTCCAGGCTTGGGGGATCCGACTTGATTTATAGCAGGGCTGTGGCTGCTCATGCTGAAATTTTTGAGTAATTTGGACTCCGTAACCTCACTCAGCACCAAGTTGCTATAGACCCTTGTGCCAGTGCTGTTTCTCTTATAATGGGTCTTAGGTCTTATAGAGACTTAACTGCATTTATGAATGTAATCCTATTTTTAAGAAGGATAAAATGAATACTGAGCTAGTGTAAGCTGGACAAATGGGCATTACTGCCTGATAGCTGTGAGATGGTGTGGTTCCTCCTGAGATGAGATGGACACTGTCCTTGAGTAAACGTCTGTCTGTGCGTCTCCTTCCCCACAGCCAAGATCTCCGCGGTGGATGAGGACCAGGAGGACCCGTACCTAAATGACCGCTGCAGAGGTGAGACCGGCCCCACTGGGCCATCCGTCTGGGGGGTAACTCACCCCGAAGCAAAGCCAGTGCCAGTCTCACTGGGAGCTCCACCTCTGACGTTGCTCAGGTTCCCCTGGGAAGGGCCCTTTGGCTGGGCATCACCTGTAAGCTGCTCTGTGGTTCCAGCACTCCTGGGCTTTTAGGGCAGGGACCGTGTGAGTTGGTGCCATCACAGTGACCAGCACCACCAGCTTCCCGCAGGCCTGCGGGAGAGGGGAGTGTCCCTGGACTTTGTGTCCTGAGCCCCAGCTGTGCTTGGTAATGGCCTTTTGTCTCACAAGGGAGACGTTTGCAAATGTAAAGTAGGGTTTCACTGCTTTGTTTTCCAAGTGATAAAACCACTTCTCTCTCAGGGAACATTCCCGCATGTCCAGACAGGCAGGTCTGCTCCGTAGGTTCCTCCAGCAGCTTGAGCCGTGCTTGGGCGTTAATTAGGGAGCCAGTTTAATCACAAAATGACAGGGCCGGTGGACAGGGACAGTCTGCGCGGAGGCCTGGGCAGGGAAGAGAGGGCAGGGAGCCCCCCAGAGCCTCATCCTCCCTGGGGGATGCGGGAGGGTCTTCCTGGGGGAGGGGATGGCTAGGTTAGCCCGGAAAGGAACGTTGAAAGGGAACTGGGGACAGCGGAGCGTGGAGGCATGCAGACCCACATGGCAGGCCGGGGCTGCCGGGCTGTGGGATGGGGGAGGCCGGAGGAGGGGCAGGCCCTGTAGCCGGCCCTGGGCAGCAGCCAGAACTTTATCTCGTAGAACCTTTACCTGCTAGAGACTTGTCTCAATGAGGTTTGCTCTTTTGAGCATCATACCGGCTGCCCTGCAGGAAGCATGGCTGCAGAGGGGGTACCAGGGACCCTCTGGGAGCCGGGTGATGGGATAGTGGAGCTGAGGCAGTGCTGGTGGGGATGGGGCAGTGGGCTGGCCAGAGAGATGGGGGTGCTCGTCAGGGCCCGGCCTTCCTCGTGGGGCCTGCTGCCTCCCTGTCTACACTGGGTGGCCGCGATACTTTCTTCTCGGCCTTGCTCCTTCCAGCCCCCGACAACCTGCAGAAACAGCCCTACATGCTGCCCAATTTGTCAGACGCGGGGGCCAGGACCTGAAGCAGCAGCCCAGGGGTGCCCAGAGCCAGGCCCTGGGGGTCTCCCCTGGGAAGGGTGGGGTGCTGTAAGGGCTGTGGTGGGGCTCGGGCAGGGAGCCTGCCTGTCTGTGCCAGTCCATCCTGAGGCCGTTTCCTCCAGCCCAGTCCAAACAGAGCTGGAAAACCAAAAGGCGTTTGGTGTGCATCTGGCCCCTGGCACACTTTTGCTCTGGTTCCAGGCGGCGGGCCCTGTAAGCAGCAGTGCCGAGACGCAGGGGAGGAGGTCGTCTGCTCTTGCTTTGTGGGCTACCAGCTGCTGCCCGACGGCGTCTCCTGTGAAGGTAAACGTCACTGTGTCCCTGGCAGCAGGACGCCAGGTGGCTGCGCTGTGGAGCGCCTCTGCCTCTACTTGACATCCAGGCGGGGCCCAGCATGGCTTTCCGGCCTTCCCACCCAGGAGCACGTGAACACCATGTTGGGAAGGAGGGCTGGGTTTAGGATTTCCCCGGGCTCTGACTCTAGGATCTGCTGAGTGGCTCTGAGCACGTCCTTCAGCCCCTCACCTGTGAGGAGGAAGGTGACGGACGAAAGCCCTGTACAGGGGTTTATCGGATCACGTGACTCCAGTCCAGGGCCTGGTACTTGCATGGTGGGTGCTCAGAAAGTGCAGTAGATCTGAGGCTTAAGAGGGTAGACAAACCATTGCTTTGGATTTGATAGTGAATGCCCAGGATTGCACCCTGGTGCACAGCCCGAATCCGTGCCTGTGGGGAATTTGGGGGCTGCGGGGATCTGTATACGTTCCTCTTGATGAGGCGTGAGGGTCGGTTCTCTGGTTCCTCCCGCATTGCCTCCGTCTTCCCTAGATGTCAATGAATGCATCACGGGCAGCCACAATTGCCGGCTTGGAGAATCCTGCATCAATACAGTGGGCTCGTTCCGTTGCCAGAGAGACAGCAGCTGTGGGACTGGCTATGAGCTCACCGAGGACAATGACTGCAAAGGTAGCACATGTTCCGAGCCTTGAACCCCCTCTCCCAGGAGTAGCTGTGGTGTGACGGGAAAGGCAGCCTTGGGCCCCCGGGGTCTGGGCTTGGTGGTATCTTTCCCCCTATGGCTTCCTGGGGCACTGGTCGGTTCTGTTAGTAAAGATTTACCTTTGCCGTAAAACCCAGCTAATGACAACAGCGAGTTTGGGTTTCTGTAAAGGCTCAGAGCATGATCATTTAAAAACAAGACCAGGGTGAACTTGAGGTGCTCACATGTGCTTCCTACAAACAAAATTATTTTTTTGGCAACAGCTGCCTTCCATCTGACTCCAGGCTTCCTTGAAGTTCAAAGCATATTCCCTTCCGCTTCATAAAAACATGACATTTCTGGCTGCCGGCCTTTCCCTGCCAAGCCATAGATGCTATTTGGCAGATAAGGCTTTGATGAGAATCTATTAGAACATAGTTTTCTTCTGAGGGCTTCCAGTCCCTCAGAACGACAAAACCACTTGTGTAGAAATGTTGTTTGAATTACGAGGGTAACTCTAAAAGCAAAGCACGCCCTTCTGACGTCAGAGGGCTTTGGGCGAGCTCACTCCACTCCACCCCTGCAGACTCGCTGGGCGGTTTGGACCCAGGGGCCCAGCCAGCTGAGTTTATGCTTTTGAACATTTGACAGCCATGAACTTCAGGGGAAGGTCAGCCAACATGTCCGATCATGACAGTCACCATTGTACGTATTTGGAATATTGCAACAACTCCAAAATGAATAAGTTTATGGGGACAGTGTTTATTGCCCCTAAGATCATTGCTCTATGATCTAAACTAAACATGCAGTGAGCCTAAAATGAAAAAAAAATTAAAGGCGCGTAGTGCCAGGGAAACGCTTGGGCTTCATTATGTAACAGTTTGTCTCCTAAAAGCCTTGGGGGGAAAAATGTTAAGTCTTTAGCAATGTGAATACGATTTGGCTAACTTAAGGCCCTTTTTATGAGTGACCTCTCGATTGGAATGTTTTGGGTTATAGTTGGGAGTAATGAGCATTAAAAAAAAAACTTTCTTGTGATTTTAAAGTGTTGTATGATGCTTTTGGCAGGACTCTTGCTAACCATTTCCTTTTTTTATGATGTACCAGATATTGACGAGTGTGAGAGTGGTATTCATAACTGCCTCCCCGATTTTATCTGTCAGAATACTCTGGGATCCTTCCGCTGCAGACCCAAGCTACAGTGCAAGAGTGGCTTTATACAAGATGCTCTAGGCAACTGTATTGGTAAGACGCTGCCACCAGGGCCATGCGGCTCGCCAGGCAGGCTAGGCAGTCCAGTGACGGGCCACGTCTCTAGAATGTCGTGGGCCACATAGTGTTTAGAACAGAGGTCGGCAAGCTTTTTCTACAAGGCTGGACAGCAGATATGTCTGGCACTGTGGGCCATTGTCTCTGTTGTAACTGGAAAGCAGCCACAGATGGGGAAGCAAATCCCAGAACAAGTGGGCAGGGCTGTGTCCCAGTAAAACTTTATTTCTAAAAACAGGTGGCAGGCTGGGGTTATCCCCAGAGCTGTCTATAGTTTAGCAACCCCTGGTTTAGACAAAAGAGCTGGAATTTTAGAGTCAGCGACACCTGGTTTTTAATTGAGGGGCCTAAGGTCATTTACTTACTTCCTCTGAGCCTCCGAGGCCTCCTCCATAAAATGGGAATGATCGTAGTATCTGGCTCAGAGACTTGAGGCAAGGATTAAACAAGGTGATTGTGAAGAGCCTGGTATATTAAAAAAATATTTACAAAATATACTCTGTGTTCGTAGTCAGATTCAGAGACAGAGAATAGGATGGGGGTGGCCAGGGGGCCCCGGTAGGGGGCAACAGAGAATTAGTCTTTAATGGGCATGGAGTTTCATTCAGGAAAATGAGAAAGTTCTTGAGATGGATGGTGGTAATGGTTGCACAACAGTGTGAATGCACTTAATGCCACTGAGCTGTACACTTAAGAGTGGTTAAAATGGGCGAATTTATGTTACATATATTTCACAATTTAAAAAAATACCGTGTTGCTATCAGAGGAAGATGGATGTGAAATGAAAGGAAATCCCATGTGAACTCAGTACCCATAGGTCTGGGTTGCACTGCTCAAGCTGGAGAAGCAGTGAGGGGCAGGGGGCGAGGGCGCCAGCACTGTGAGGGGAGTCAGCTGGGGGCAGGAGAGGGCTCCTCTTTGTCCTGGAGGTGCCCAGGGTAACCACCTGGCTCGCTGTTGGCAGCTGGCCCTTGAGTCCAGGTCTGCTGGTCTGGTCTTGCCCTCTGCTCAGCAGAAGCTTCTGGGCCCTGCCTTTGAGGTCAGAGGGACTTCTCCCCTGATCTGAGCTGCAGATCCCCCAGTCAGAACACACCCGCTCCTGCCGCCCCACTGCCCTCCTCGAAAGGCCGCCGGCCCTTCCGTGAGCAAGGGACGGTGAGCTTCTGTCTCATCTCTCTCTCTCTCTCTCTCTCTCTCAGATCAGTATGTACTGATCTTTGATTTGAAACGGTAGTTTGGATTGAAAGCTCTCTCTTGGCTTTTTTTTTTTTTTAACCACCTCAGGATATTTAAAGACAAGTAGAACAGCGACCCTGCAGGACAGGGGCCCCGTCTGACCCCACCCCTGTCTTGGCACCTGAGCTGTGGGGGCCTCGGCTGGGCTCTGGTTGGCCCCTTGCCAGCCTCCTGCCAGTGGGGCTGTCATCGCCCAGCCCAGGGGCTGGTGAGCAGGAGGCTGACTGCTCTCCCAGGGCCGGTGACAGGGAGGGTCCTGCCGGGACTTGCAGTGTGCTTGCGGGGGGCCCCACAGAGGAGGCTGCATCTGCTGGGAGTGGAAACCCTGACTCATGGCAAAATCAGCCCCGATTTCCATAAAGAAGAACCGTTTGCAAGTCCCCACATAGCCCTGGTTTTTCCCTCTAAGGGGTACAGTGCTGGGCAGGGGGAAGATGGAAGGGCAGCCCGTTGAAGCCCAGCCCGCCAGCACCTGGGTCCTCAGTGAACCAAATTCAGCTCCCAGAGCTGCCCCTCACCTCAGCACTGGGGGGTGGGGGGTCCCCCTTTTCATGTGCCCACAATCCTTGTAACCAAATTCAGGATTCTTTCTTTTTGAAGTTATCTTTTTTAATTTCAAAAGTTATATACATATATGTCTTTATTTACAAAACAAACGCAAGCATGGGAAGGGAAGTTTCTTGCCTGCTTGGTGCCGTCTATGAGCCCCCCTGGGCTCTGCTCCTCCAGGCTTCCAGTCTTTCATGCAGTGGGTCCCGACTGTTCCGCCACTTGCTCTTTCCTCACCACTTAGTGATATATTTTAACATCATTTTACATTCGTACCTTTCTGTCATCTTTTAAAATAATGGCATCATCCCGAATATAAGCATGTTGAGTTGGAAAACAGTTTCAGGGTGTCTGGGAGAGTCCTTTGCGTGCATCCTGGGCCTCTGCCCACAGCACCCTCACTCACCAGGACGGCAAGGTCTGTGCGGGAAGCTGGCTCACATGGGGCCAGAACCCATCGGGCCCTTCCTGGGCCCCCAGAACCTGTCTGTGTCTCCCCCCCAACTGCCTGGCCATACGGCAGACAGCCCTGTAGTTGCAGAGCTCTGCCTGCAGGGCCAGCGCAAAGGATGGGACAGGGTTTTTAGACGTCAGAGACCTATGTAGAATGTTCTAGATCTTGGGATTTGGTTACCAAGGGCCTTGAGGGTATTATTACATTTTCGTTGGCTTTTTATTTTTTTCCTTCTGAGCCCTTCCCATGACACTGAGGATGGGCAAATGGCCAGAGCAGGGCTTGCCACCCGCTCTAATCTCGGAGGTCTGCGGGCCCTGGGGGCAGTGAAGGGTTGCGTGGGCATCGGGTTAAAGCGAACGGGCCCTTCCGACTGGGATCATCAAGGCCTTTCCCAGGAGAGCCCTGAGAGCGAGATTGTGTGATGCGCTCCCAATCTTGAGTGGCTGGAGGCAAGACACTCTCGTTCTAGGCCTGAATGGGCCCTGACTCCAGCGTTGCCGTCGGGGAGCTTCCTGCTTATAAAATGCAGACAGTAATCCTGGTCCCAACTGACTGACAGGCTCACCGTGGTGGTCAAGGGCAGGAATGAGTATAAAAGCTCTTGTAAACTGTAAAGTGCTGGCTGGCACAAGAGGGTTGACTCCAGGGGAGGGAGGGCACTGGGCTGATCCTTCAACTGGCAAGAGGGGGGCCGGGCTGGGAGGAGAGCAGCACAGCTGATCCTTTTTTTTGACTTCAGCTCAGGGATCTTCTACCATGACTCCCTTCTCCCTCCACCCCCATCCCAGATGCTTTGTAAGTGTTTGAACCTAGTAGGGATTCAGTCTGTGCACTTTGCGCTGTGTTTGAGCCGGAGAAGTGGACAGATGGGTGACCTGGGCACAGGCGGGGGGGGAGACCCGTGCGGCGGATGTGGGGTGGGCAGCCCTTCCCGGCCTGGCCGAGTCAGAGCCAGCCAAGCAGCCAGATGGGGGTGGGCAGGAAGGTGGCACTCAAGCTGTAAAACTATTTACCAGGCACACGGGGACATGGCCTCCCAGGCAGGGACGACGTGAATAGAGGCGAGGTGGGACCCGAGGGTCCGCTCTGGGAGGTGTAGCTGTGTCGTTAGGGCTCCAGCCTGTGCTGCAGGGGACACTGGCCAGAGAGAGGCTGGGAGCAGGAAGGGCCCAGCTAGTCATTGGAGGAGCCCAGAGCCTTGCTGGGCAAGAATTCCGACAACGAGGGCACAGCTCTCTCTCTGTCTCCCTTTGCCCTGTGCCCTGCTCAGTAAAGATGCTCCATATTCCACGTCAGTGGCACCCGGATATCTGAGTCCACGCTGTGGGCTGGAGTCCTATAGGACTCGGAAGGGACGTTGCCCCATGATCGTGGAAGGCTCTGATAGCCAGGCAGGCAGCTTCAGACCAGGCAGGGAGGTTTTGAAGGTTTCAGGCAGGAAGATGGACCAGGAGGTGGTATTTAAGGTGGCGTGTGCTGGCGAAATCTGGGAGCCAGGCCGCTGTGTGGTCCAGGCTGAGGGCACAGTTGTACATCTTGTTTGTGGTTTTGCAAAGAGGAGGGAAGTGGGTTTTCTTTAGAGATCTGGCTGTTGGGTTTGGGAAGCCTTCCCTGTTTAACGGTGCCATCTCCGTCTCTCCCTGCTGTAGACATCAATGAGTGTTTAAGCATCAGTGCCCCATGCCCTGTTGGGCAGACTTGCATCAACACGGAGGGTTCTTATACATGCCAGAAGAATGTGCCCAACTGTGGCCGTGGCTACCATCTCAATGAGGAGGGAACCCGTTGTGTTGGTTGGTATTAAAAAAGGCAATGTCTGTTTGAAATCAGCGCTCTTGTCTTCTCCCAGCACACCCCTCCCTTTTCTGGAAGGGGAGAGCAAGTTCTCAAAGTGAGGCTGTTTCCACCTGCCCGTCCATCCCAGACCTCCGAGCATAGGTCTTCATCATCTATTGCCTGGACCACTGCAGTAGAATGCCACCCTCAGCTCTTTCCTCTCCATTTTGCCTAGTTTGTCCTGAGCTGAGCCCCCCTCATCCTTCCCTGTTCATAGCCCTCACTGGTGACAGTTCCCCACTGGTGACAGAGGACAGATGCTCCTGCTTATAATTCAGTCCTTCGGAGCTGGCCCCACCTTCACAAACCTTACAGTGCAGATGGAATAGGTTTTGTCGCCCCCCCAGACAAGCCCTGCCCCTTCTCTGTGACTTTTTGCTTACACTATTCTCTCTCTGCCCACCTGCGCCTGCATTCCTTGGGATCCTGAGCAACGGCTCTTGCACCCAGCCTGCCCAGGCCCCTGCCGGCTGGAAGGGGTCTTCCTGTATAATCCCAGAGCACTTGCTCCGCATGTCCCCTGGGTCATTGGGCACTTCCTGCCTTAACTAGGGGCATTGCTGGCCAGCCAAAACAGGAGTCCCCTGAGAGCAGGGGCTGCATCCAGGTCAGCTGTCTCCCCAGCCTGGGGCCCGGCACATAGTAGGTGCTCTGAAATCATGTTGAAGAATGAGTGGTGCTGCTTTATCGGTGTTCATGTTAGTTTGCTCCTTTTTTTCTCTTGCTTCCTGATCATCTTAGGGAAAAAAACCACTAAAGATTTTTCAATGTGTCTTTCTCCTTTGCAAGATGTGGATGAGTGTTCGCCGTCCTCGGAGCCCTGTGGGCCAGGGCACCTCTGCGTGAACTCCCCTGGAAGTTTCCGCTGTGAATGCAAGGCTGGTTACTATTTCGATGGAATCAGCAGGACATGTGTGGGTATGTGGGCGTCCCTGCAGGCCTTGGGGGCCCAGCCAGGCAGGACCAAAGAGAATCCAGCCTGTGGCACGCTGCAGTGCCCATGGCCCACTCCTCACCAGAAAACCCCGGGTGCAGGCAGTCCGAGGGAAAAGACCCTGGGTCAGGAGACCCCCACTGTAGCCGCAGCTCTGCGGTTGCCCTCCCCATGTGAGCCAGATTCCCCACCTGCAGAACAGGTGCTCGGCTTGACCCAAAACCTTCAAGTGTTCATGAGACTCCAGCCCACTCTACACATGCCCAAAATTAGAGATTTTAGGGGTTCACCAGCGACCTGCATGTGTGCACATAGTCCATGGTCGGAAGAACCAGAGAGCACGGTAGCCAACCAGCAGGAGCAAGGACAGACCTTTCTGGCCGCCGCCTGCCATCCCCAAGCCAGTGTGGTCGGAGGAGGTGGCACCTGTCCTGCCTGTCCCCCTGGCCACTGTGTCAGGCCCCTCTGGGCTCTGGGGTAGAGAGCTGGCAGGTGGGCCCATGCCCAGCACACCGTTATTGAAGGAGTGGGAGACTTGCCCAAGGGCAGGCAGGCTGGGGTGTGGCGCCAGCTCCCCTGCCGATCGCTGTGCCTTTGAGATGCGTCACCGCCTTCTCTCCTCTGAGGGGGGTGGACACCAAGGTGCTAAGCTGCCGCCACTGGCAGGAGGCAGAGTGTGTCCTGCCGTGGGCGGACGTGCCCCTGAGCCGGCGCTCTGCTCTGTTGCAGACATCAACGAGTGCCGGCGCTACCCCGGGCGTCTGTGCGGCCACAAGTGTGAGAACACGCCGGGCTCCTACTACTGCAGCTGCACCAGGGGCTTCCGGCTGTCGGCTGACGGCCGGTCCTGTGAAGGTGAGGGCGGGGGCGGGGGCCGTGACCTCTGCCTCCTCTGCAGGGTGCCGCCTTTGCTCTGCAGACTCATGTCTGTTTCCTGAGCGTGAATTAAGTGCTGCGTCAGTGCAGAAGTGGCTGTGAGAGACAGCTTACCATGGATCACGACTCACCCCGGTCCCCCTGGGCCCTGGAAGGGCTGGTGACATCCACAAGCCAAGGCTGTGCACGTGGGGCTTCAACCCTGGCTGAGGAAGCTATGTGGGATATGGCTAAGAGCGCGGGCTTTGGAGGCATCCGGGTCCTCGTGGGGCCAGGGGTGATGTGTCAAGGAGAAATAAAAGCTGGACACTAATGTTTAAAGTGCTGGCAGTGTGGAGACTGCTGGTATTGTCATTATCATTCAGGCTGATGCTGTCCCCGGTCACTCCTTGTGACTGAGAAGTAGCTGTCCATATATGCATCATGGTCGATGTTGTGGACACAAAGCCGGGACTGGCCAGCCTTGCTATATTATTCCACTAAGCTCTTGTAAAGTGTGCGTGCACACACACACACACACACACACCTACCTGCCCAAGGTGTGTAGCAAGAACATGGCTCCTGCCTTCAGGGAGTGTGTCTAGGATATGTTGAGAAACTGCCCTGGGCAGAGAGCAAGTGAACAGGTGACCAGGTGGTGGCCATGCTGAGCCTGTGGGGGCTGCTGGGCTGAGCTATGGGGTGAGAGGCTAGTGGATGTTCTCAGCTGCTCACCGGCGGCTCACCCCTTCTGCTCTGCGAAGAATTAGAAGTAAGCAAATGTGAAAAGCAGCCCCTAGGCCAGAGGTCAGCAAACTTTTTTCCTAAATGGCACATAGTAAATATTTTAGGCTTTTTTTAGTCTCTGTTGCAACTGCGTAACTCTGCCAGTGTAGCCCAAAATCAGCTATAGACTCTGATAAATGAGTGTGGCTGTGTTCCAATAAAACTTTATTCATAAAAATAAGTGGTGGGCCAGATGTGTGCTGATCCCCGCTCTAGACAAAGGGAATGAATGAGTGAGAGTCCAGAGTTGCTGAGTGGCTGGGTGAGTTCTAAGTGTTGGATACACAGGAGTGCTGGCTTATTAACTGGGTCAAGCAGGGCCCCCATCTGCAGAGAGGGTGAAGGGTGGGGCATGGGGGCGGGATCAGACTTCCTCCTGGGGCCAAACTGGAAGGAGCCGAGCCTGGAGGCTTCACTGTCATCCTGACGCGAGTGGTGGGGAGGGGTTCCAGATCCTTCAGCTTTGGGGGGCTGCAGCAGGAACCTCTCTCCCTCTGGATGATCCCAGGTGGGTCCCCAGGCCTCCACTGAGAGAGTGGGTCCCCTGGCTCCCCATGTGTGTTAACTTGGGGTGCTGTGTCCATGGCCCCTCCAGGGGCAAGTGACGAGGCACTGAGCGGTGGCGTGTGGGGACCCTCTCTCTTTCAGACGTGAACGAATGTAACAGCAGCCCCTGCAGCCAGGAGTGTGCCAACGTGTACGGCTCCTACCAGTGTTACTGCCGGCGAGGCTACCAGCTCAGCGACGTGGACGGGGTCACCTGCGAAGGTGAGGGCACCCCGCTGGCTGAGCGGGGAGCACCCTCACCCCCTTCTAGTTATGCCCTTTCAGGCTGGCAGGTGGTTTGCTTTTTCCCCTTGAACGGAGATTCATTTGGATACACTTGTCCCGTCATCGAGCGTGAGGTTTAGGAAGGAGCAAATCCACGCATGGATTTTTCTTGAACTCCTGGCAGTGTGATGGCCCTGGCAGCCGGGACCTTGAGCTGCCTATGGAAGGCCTTCGTAGTCAAGTGTGACCCAGGGTGGGGAGGGGGCTTAGGGGCCCCCCACACCCGTGACGTGCAGTCTGCCTCTGGCCTTCTGAAGCCCCTCACCAGGTGGGGTGCCCTCCTCTAGCCTGGCAGAGGTTAATCCCAGACTGGCCAGCCTATGGGGCCTTAAACTGGATGGTGACTCAGAAGTGCCTGGCACACTGTAGGTAGGGGCTTAAACAACAACTGTTACTATGATTGTTTGTGTTTCCATGTAAGGTGTATTTCTTATTAATACATTTATATTTAGTGTCAGGCTGTGCTTGCAGCCTGCTGGGCACCTGTGCAGTCTGTTGTTCTGAAGCCCCAGGCCTTGCCCCTCTGCCCGGCTGCCCATTCTGCCTCCTTCCCCCATCCATACACACTGCACACCATGAACTTGCTGTGAGACCCTAGGCTGGGCCCCACCCCCTTTCTGGGCCTCAGTTTCCCCTTCTGACACCAGAAGTCTCTGCAGCTGCTTCAGCCTGGCCCACTGAGGGGACATAGCCCGGCCGGGGTGCACACAGGATGCTGAGGGGGGGCTTTGCCATCACAGACATTGACGAGTGCGCCCTGCCCACTGGGGGCCACATCTGCTCCTACCGCTGCATCAACATCCCTGGAAGCTTCCAGTGCAGCTGCCCCCTGTCCGGATACAGGCTGGCCCCCAACGGCCGCAACTGCCAAGGTGAGCCTCGTGGGACTCGCCAGGGCTGCTCAGACTGTACCTGGCACCCTGTGCTGTCGGGGGGATGTGCTTCCCTGATCTGGGGGCCACATGCACCCTGTTGTCCCACACCTGCAATGCTTGTTCTCGGGGTTCGGAGCCGTCCCGCCCTGCCCTCAGCAGCCCGAGGGAGGCTGGACCAGGGGCTGACCGCCTGCCCTCCAGGGGTGGAATAGGGAGGTGGTACCCGGAGACCCCAACCCCACTGCTGCTCAGGCTCTCCTCAGCCCCTTGGCGAGCCCTTGCTGCCCACCAGGCACCACAGTCATTAAGGGCAAACAGTGAGCAGATGGTGGAGGCTTCTGTCCCTAGGAGCCAAGGGGATGCCAGCCCTGAGGTCTGAACACTGTGACTCTGAGGGCCCTCTGGGGCTGGGGGTCTGCGCCAGCACAGGCCTAATGAGGGGCCGGTGGCCTCCGTCCTTACTCAGCGCCCGTACCTAAGAGCACACTAGGGGTCGGCATGTGTCCTAGGGCCATCCCTTCAGTCGCTGAGACGGGGTGTAAGTAGATATTTGTGAATGAGCGATCCTGGAACGGACATGTCCCTTCCCCTCTGGGAACAGCCCCAGAGGCTAGATCCAGAGGTTGGGTCGGCCCAGCCCCTTCCTCGTGGGCCCCTCGGCGCAGCTGTCAGCCCAGAGGCTCCCAAGGCCCTGTGTTCTGCAGATGTCACTTCTGCTCATGAAGAAGGTGACTTTGATCTAGGCGGGCGGGAACCGTGGCGTTTCCTGGGAGGGACCCACTCAGCCTGCCCAGAGCTCTGGATGGAAGTCGCTTTGTTTTTGTGTTTCTCATGGAGCAGATGACTTCCCTGCTCCTGGCCAGGCTCCTGCATTGCAGCCTGGGGTCCTGCCAGACACAGCAAAACACATTCCTGAGCCTCGGCCTTTAGGCTCAGGGTTTGCCCCCAGTGATGGGGGGTTTGGACCTCTTAACACATGCCTCCCAGGCTTGGCGGTGTCCCCTGGACCCCACATTTGGCTGCTCCAGAGAGTTGTGGAAGTGGGGGCAGCTCCCCGTGCCCACCCAGGACCCTCTCGTGACAGTGCCCCAGGCCTGGTCACGGACCAGCCCCAATGTCACCCCCCCAGACACCCCTTTGAGCCTCAGTTTCCTCTTCTGTAACATGGGGTAGTCACTTCTGCCCTTTCCCTGTCTGGGTGTTACGTACATGCTGCACAGGAGATAAGGGCGATGGGCTCGCAGCCACGGAGAGGTGCTGGCTCATTAGGGCACAGACCCTGGCACCAGTGTGCTGGGTTCAAAGCTCGGCACTGCCACTTAAAACATCCAGTGAGGCGCAGAGCCTCTGTGAGCCCCTCCCTAAAACGAGGATGGTGACAGTGCTTGTGTCCTTGAACTGTTACAGAATTCAGAGAATTCTGTAGTGCTCTCCCAGGGCCTTTGTATGGTGCCTGCTGTAATCACTGTTCGGCTCCGTCCAGCGACTGTGGGTAATAAGCTCTATGAATATAAATCTTGCTGGAGCAGCCAGTGGGGGCATGGATGGCCTGATTGCCCCACGCTCCCATTGGTGGGAAGCCTGGGCACCCCCACCTCGGGGGTTCTGAGGGGGGCTTGGGGGCCTTGGCCTTCACCGTGCTGCCCTGGGGTCTCTTGTAGACGTTGATGAGTGTGTGACCGGCATCCACAACTGCTCCATCAACGAGACCTGCTTCAACATCCAGGGCGGCTTCCGCTGCCTGGCCTTCGACTGCCCCAAGAACTACCGCCGCTCCGCAGACACGTAAGTCCCTCAGCCTGCGCTAGTCTGTCTGTGTGGGCCTTCCTGGGGGCACGGCTCCCAGCCTGGTTGGCTGCACCCATATGGGGGTATCAGACCGAGGACCCCTGGTTCTCAGGCCCCTAACGCCAGCAAAACTGGTTGCAGAAAACCAAGGTAGTGAATTCAAATGAACTGAAGGTCACGGGCCTGCTCTCAGGTGAGCCTGTGCGGGGAGCCAGGCCTCATTTCTCTGGGCCTCGGTTTCCTTACCTGTTAGGTACAGACACCAGAATGTGCTCTGGCCCAGAGGAAGGTGGCAATGATTTCGGGTGAGCCTGTGGCCTGTCGGGGCATCATTATTAGGCAGCCCTACCTGAAAGCCTGATTCCGTCCAGCCCAGTGGCTGTGCGGGAACAGCATGGAAGGTTCCTTGTCATCTGCTTGAAGCTGAGTGTCTGTTTGCTCTTGGGAGCCCATTCCCTCCCAGGCCACCAGGACGCCCACCTGGGTGTCCAGGAGCACCTTCCCCAGGGAGCAGGGAGGACCCTCTGTCCTCACAACGCCCCACCTGGCCCCCAGTTTTATTCAGCAGGTCTCATTTAGCACCACTCTCAGTAGTTTGAGGACAAGCTCCATGCTGGGAGCCAATTTCAGGAGCTGGACTCATGACCCCTGCCTCTAGCCCCTGGAAATGTGCAAAGCCAGCACGCAGCTGGGCTGACTGTGCGCCTTGGCCTCTTGACCTTGAGCCTGCTCTGCCCACCAAGGGTCAGTGCCTTCTTAGACAATGTGCCCTGCCTCAGTGTTCACTTGTTCAGCACTGAGGGCTGGCTGCCCAGGGTTGTGGTTTTAGCCCAGCCATCTACTTGCCAAGTGCCATTGCTCTGATGCACAATCTCCTTGGCAGCCCTTTGTGTTCCTCCCAGCATTTGGGGTGGGCCTCCACTGGCCTCACCACCTCCCCAAGGCCTGCACTGTCCCCACTGCATGAGTTTTTGTCTGCCTGGAAACCAGACACGTCGCTTCTGTCCTGTGCCCCAGTTAGGGAAAAGCCACTCCAGAATTGGGTTTGCAAGTGTGCAGCATTCCAAAGAGCTTGCGGGTTGTGCAGCAGCCCAGTGGGCAGTGATGGCGCTCTGTGGAGCCGTCAGAACAGTTCTGTGTCCTCCATGTGAGGCCCTGCTGTCATAAGTTCCCTTGCTCCCAAGCCTTTTGTCTGTGTCAGGGTTTGAGGATTCTGGGAGACTGGCTGTTGTTTGACATCGACTTTGACTCACACACAGCCATGAAACCAAAAGGGGAAGGGACTGCAGGGGACCGCCCTGTGCAGGGGTCTTCATGCCTCCTTAGCCTAACTGTGGGCATGTTGGCTTCAGTTCTGAGGTTGTGGCTGAAATTTGCAGACCTGGCTCTGCCCCCTCATACTGCTGAATCCAGTGCCACTGTAAGTGCTGGGGAAAGTCATTTACTTATTTGCGGACCATGAGCCTACTATGTGCAGGCACCTGGGCAGACAGTGGGCCCCAAAAGTCCCCATACCCTGCACTGCACCTCCCAAGAGCACGTGCAGAGGCAGCAACGGCCACAGAGTGAGGTGCTGAGACCTGGCTGGGCGGGAGGCGGAGTGCCTGGGGTAGGCGATGCTCAGGGGAGGGTGGAGCTGAGATGGGCAGAGAGGAGGGAGCCGGGCAGGCTTGGAGTCGAGCTGTGGTCATTCATCGAGCAGGGGCAGGAAGGAGTTCCCCGCAACGAAATGGGCTGTCAGCAGGGACCCCTGCGCACAGGGTCGGGGTGGATGCTCCGGGCCTGATCTGTCCCCATGCTGTGGATTCGTTGGCCTGTCCCTGGAGCTGATAGTTAGTGGCTCATCATTTTCTGTAAGTAAGGGCAGGAATTGGACCCCCACACACCGTAAAGGCAGGAAACGGGAGGATGAGGCCCCAAGCAGGTGGCCCTCCAGGAAGATGGCCGAGGGATTGATGCACATGTTGCTCACCAGTGCCACCCAGTGCCCTGGGCAGGGGTGCAGGAGGATAGAGCCGGGCATGGGGCGGACCCCGCACTGAGGGTGCTGGCCTGAGGAGGGCCAGGCCAAGCCGCTGTGCTGTTCTCAAGCCTCGTGGGGGCGCTGTGGCCTTCTGGGGAGATGCTGGCTTTGAAGTCAGGCCCGTTGGGTTTGCCTCCCAGCTCAGTCCATTCCAGGGACCTTGACCCTGAGTGGGTCCCTTAAGCTCTGGAGCCTCCATACTCAGCTGTGCCAGGGTTGGTTATGTCACCCTCCAGTTCCTGCAGGGGGACCTGTGATGGTGCTGCAGAGCCCCTCCGTGAAGCTCAGCCTGGGTTCAGCCCTGGTGCAGCGTGCTAGGCACCCCAAGGCGCTCTTAACTGACCCATGTACGGATGCAGGGAAGATGGGGGTGCCCCTGGTGTCTGGGGCGGGGCACAGCCTGCAAGGCTGTGCGGAGAGGGGAGCAACCAGGGCCTGGCGCCTGTTTCTCAGTGCCAAGGCCTTGGGTCTCTTGGCCACCCAGGGGCCCTTTCTGCATGCAACACGGGGCTGAGAGTACTTGCTTGCCAAGGGCTGGAGGACAGTGAGGGTCAGGGCTGGAGGCGGCGAGGAGGGTGATAATTAGCCATCCGGTCTCTCTTCCTGGGGACACAGCAAGTCAGAGTAGCGCTCCTCAGGGGACTGTCGCTGTTCTAGCTCTGCAGCTTGCCAGCTGTGACTGCCCAGTTGCTTGGCCCTCAGCTGGCACAACATGTGGGCTCCTGAGGGCCTGTGTGCCCGCAAGAATCCATCTGGTTGCAGTTTTCTCCTTTGTGGATCCCTGTTGAGGAATCATGAACCAGCCAAGGTTCCAGTGTCCGGTGTAGGAAGTGGGTGCCGGGCCTGGAACCCAAAGTTGAAGGACCAGGGGGATCTTATCCTGGTTGCCCCTTCACAGTCAGGGAAGTCACTCTGAACCACAGGAGCTTAGTGTGAGAGTAGTGACAAGCCGTCACTGGACACCAGCCGGAGCTCCAGGTGATGGGGGCTTACCTTCTCCAAACTAAGAACTCCTAAGCCTGCAGTTTTCTATTTTACAGCCCATTTTCCTCCTCCTCCTCCTCAAAAATCCTTTTGAAGAATTTATTGTCTGACCTTCAGAAAGCAATTAGTAAAATCTGAAAGAGTTGTATTCCAGGACCCAGTGGCCAGCACTTCTGTAGTTAACATTCAGGAGACTTGGCAGGCAGGTCTCAGACTCTCTCCGTTTCTGTCTGCCCCCGCCGCCTCCCAGGCCTCAGCCTTCTGTCTCTCTACACAGCCTCCTCCCGGGCAGTGTCCCAGTGGCTGAGGGGCGGTAACTAGAGAATGACCCAGCAGGCTGGACCACAGGCCACAGGCCTGGGCCTCACAGACCAACCAGGCCGGGAAGACCGACCACACGATCCCCTCCATCCCACAGGACGGGTGTTCACCATGTCCTGGAGCCTGGGATCACACTGAAAACATCCTCTTTACCCCCTCGGTGGGGCCAGCCCCTGAGAGTCATGGTCTTGGAGGCCAGAGCAAGGCTGAGGCGGGGCAGCTTCCGAGGCACAGCTCCTGGCCCAAGGGTGCCACACCGGTGGGGAGGGGGTGGAGCCTGGCCGCTTCCTGGGGTGCATCTCCAGAAGGACAAGAGCGTGAGAGTCAGGGAAGTGCCAGCACGGACGGCTGCAGGCATCAGACGGACCAGGGGTAGCCAGAGTGGCCATGCCTCCCGGGAGAAGGGACTGGGCCTTGAGGTCCTTGTTTCTCTGGTGTGTGGTGGCTTTCAGTAACTGCAGAACTTGGGGGGCTTGCATCAAATTCGTTGAACTGAAAAATTTGGGCATGTCATTCCATCATGCACCATGAGAGGGAAGCCAGGGCGTGTGGTCCCAGGGACCTGGCCCTGCTCTGTTCTGCGGTAGTTGCCGTGATGTCCGTCCCTCCTCAAAGCCTAATACGCGCTGACAAAGACGGTGCCACTCCTGGGCCGACAGGCAGTTTGCCGGATGCAGCAGCTGTAGCTTTGGGGATGTTCCAGGAGGTTTGGGGCCAGGCAGGATAGGGTAGTGGAAGTTGGACCTGACCGGAAAATGACGGCTGTATTTATGTGTGCACATTTGCTAGGCACACAGTAGGTGCCGAGCCTGTGGTCACTGGGGATAAAGTCGGAGGGACACAGCCCCACCCTTGGAGGTGAGCGGTATAGAAGGAACCAGGCCCAGAAACATGTACTGTGAGGAAGGACTTGGGGTGCTCTGGTGAATGGCTTGGGTTGGGGGTCTGGAGACCATCAAGGAGGGAGCATCAGACTCTCGTGTGCAATGGCTGCAGGAGCTATACCCGAACATCACGCACACCCCAATTCCCTGCCTCCCACACAGACTGGGGTAATGATGCTTCCAGCTGGCAAATCAAAGCCCTGTCCTTGGACACGGTACAGGCCACACTGGGGAAGTGCAAAAGCTTAATTCGCATGAAGGAGGCTCTGGCGCCACCTGCTGACCAGACCTGAAGCAACTGGCGCGCGCATGTGTGGTGTGTGTGTGTGTGTGAAGTGACGGTGTTCTCACCAGCTCCATCTTCCTGTTGGTACCATAAGGATAATGATGTGGGACAGTGAAGTGAACTGTGGAAGCAGGAGCCCTGGCGTGCCCAGCACAGTGCCGGGCACCACCCCGTGTGTCTCCCGCATCAGCAGGAGCATTCCTGTTTGGCTGGGCCTGGGAGGCTCCGGGACTGGGTGACTCTGCCCTGCAGCCACACCCAAGCCCATCTCCTCCTTCCCGCCCCCTGCCTCTGGGCCCCTCCCAGGCACCCCCTTCAGCGTTCCTGACCCTCACATGCATTTAGTACCGCAGAGCCCATTCCAGGCCATCCTTTCCAAGAGCTCAGGTCGGTAGGTGAAAGGACTCCTGTTGTGCCCAAGAAGGAATCCGGGAGCAGGATATAAGAAGGACCCCACTCAGTAAATGCCAAGTGTAAAATGAGTCCGAGTAAGCCCACA